ACCAGGACATCATAGTTTGATTCTTGGACAGAGCACATGCCCGGGGTTTCGGGCTCCATCCCCAGTGTGGGGCATGCAGGAGGTAGCTGATCAATGATTCTCACTCATCAATGATTCTCTTTCTCTCTCCCTCTCCTTTCCTCTCTGAAATCGATAAAAATATATTTTAAAACAGTAATTTTCCAGCTTTTATAAATACTGGGACCACACACTTAATCTGGAATTCATCCAACGCCAGGCTCTGCTCTGAGCATGTTAAGTACCTGAACTCAATGAATCCTCACAACAAGCAGTAAGGACTGTATACCGTTTACCACGGTCTCTATTTTAGCCCTATGGAAACCGTAGCACAGGGAGGTTAAGTAACTTGCCCAAGGTCACACAGCCGGGAGGCGGGAAACCAAGTCCAACCCAGGTGGTCTGCCCACTACAAGGTGACATTCTCAACACTGGCCCCCAGTGGAGGCTCTCGAGGTCCCGAATCACCATGAGGTACCGGAGGAGTGCCAGTCCTCCTCCGGGTCTGCCTGACCTCACGGTCATTGCTTCCCCAGGGTGGGGAGGAGGCTGGAGACAGGGAGGAGGAGGAGGAGGAGGAGGAGGAGGAGGACCTGCAGCGGGAGGGCACGCATCTCTAGAACTCAAGGTACAACCAGGCAGAGATGGGAATTTGGGAACTTGACCTTGGGGTGATTCAGAAACAAAGAGCCAGGAGTTAAAGAAAAGATTTAACCCCAACTGGCGTGATCCCAACCCAGGCATCTTCGTGACACCACCCTGGGATGTGACAGAAGACGCCAATATATGCTGGGGTTCTTCTGGGAAAAGATGCACAAGCTGACATTTCTAAAGCTTAAAGGTGGACGTTCTAGACGAAAGTTCTTTGTTCCCGGCATCTATGGAGATAGTGGGAACCGAGGCCAGGTTACTTGCAAAGCTGAACAGTTGCACATCAGTCAGGGGTGTTGCAGCAATACATCCAAGGAGGTAAGACGCCTGCACCAACCCAGAGCAGCCTGCTGGTCTACCCTGGAGTTGGGCCTGCCCTCAGCTATGCCGTAACCTCGCAGCAGCTCGCTGGGACCGCTGCCACTGGGCGGTCACCAACCACGGGCCCCCCGGTGTTGGCTCTGGCGCCTGGCAGTGTCGCAGGACAAAGACAACCACGGCCATCAGTCTGTGTCAAGAAAGGATGGGCTTCATATCCTTAATTTGGAACAAAATTAACACTTGGAATTCCATATAAAACTCAATACACTGGAAAAATTTGCCTCCTCAACATGCTTTCTAATTTCAAACCCCCATGGTTGGGGAAGAGTTAGCTTTGTGAAATTATAAATGTTATCGCTTGTTTTCGAATCTCTGCTAACACGGAGACGTGTGACACAGCCTGAATGTTCTTCCACTCTCGGGGGATGCGCAGACCATCAAAATTTCATTAGCCTCCCAGCAGTCCCAGCGCCGTCTTCACTTGAACTGGTGGCCTCCTTATCAATAAATAAGTGAAATTTAATCCCTGTTAGTTGCTAAACTCTTCTTTGAAGTTATAACTAGAACATCCTGCACTCGGCTTGCATAATTTTACAAATGTTGAATAACATTTTTTTTTTTCCTGGGGAAAATAGCCTTATTCACGGTTATTTCAAATGATGAACACAGTCCAGCAAACTCCCAGGCTCAACAGAATGAAAACAAGTTCGTGTCTGGTTCCCAAATTCCTCTCCTTTTGGTAGGGTGGCCTGCACAAGGCCTTCCCCTTTCAACTTTAGTGACGTCACAGGACCTTCAAGGACACAACGCAAGCGCGTGCAGACTGGATAACAATGTAACGATGACAGTAACTGGAAGCCAAAGGCAAATGGAACTGGAAAATGAATCGTTTTTCAAAGCCGGACCAATGGACATACCCGAGGAGGATAGAACTGACTTGTATATATAGTAATTTTAGGTTGGAAATATTTGATGAGAAGGAGCAGTGATGCTAAAACACTGTATGAAATAATGCTGAGGATATCTATATATATATATAAAAGGCTACTATGCAAAGTGTCCCCTCGGGAGTTTGACCGGGAGACCGGGAGTTTGATTGCTTGCTATGATGTGCGCTGACCAGCTGGGGGCGGCATGGAACTCTGGAAGGCCCCAGCTGACAGCCGGAAGGCCCCCATCAGCCCTGATTGCCAGCCAGGCCTAGGGACCCTACCCATAGCTGGGGGCGGCATGGAACTATGGAAGGCCCCAGCTGACAGCCGGAAGGCCCCCATCAGCCCTGATTGCCAGCCAGGCCTAGGGACCCTACCCATGCACGATTCGTGCACCGGGCCTCTACTTGTTTTATAAAGCTGTGAGAAGACCGTGAGTATGATTGCAACTTTTAGTTTTTACCATAAGCCAGCCTGAGAAGAAAAATAAAAAAGTCCTGTGTGTGTTTTTTTTTAATATGAGAAAAAAAATCCTAAATACTCTTGTTTAATTCCATAATTCAAAATTCCAAGCTCCACTAAACACCTCAGAAAAGGATGCTTCCCCAGACCTTAACGTAATTAATTACTTTAAATGGAATCTTGTTCCTCCCGACTAGTCACTGGGAACTCAGGACAAATAAATTAATCTGAAATGTTCCCGGGGACACACATCTGAAATCTGTGGCACAGCAGCCGGCGAAGCGGTGGTTCTATCTACTGCATTTCCTCTTTTGTTTTCTTCCCTAAGCTGACCTCTGTTGTTAGGAGTTCTTAGACCATCAAAATGTTTAACAAACAACCGCCGCCAAACCTCGGGAAAAGATTACACACAGGCGCAAGTCATCACTGCCCAACTCAACACACATCGTTTCTGACACTTGATCCTCTTCCCTTCGCGACCTGTTTACTCTCCACAAAAGCTGCCAAAGGCTCTGCATTTCAGCGAGAGGCCCATGGCACCCTCCTCCGCCTCTCCTGCCTCCTAGCAACCTGGAGCCCTGCGAGGGCACAGCTCCTCCTGCCTGCACTGCGCTCCCAGAGCACGGCCTGCGAGTCCTGGGAGCGAGGTCCTCCTCTGGGTGATAATAATCCGGCCGTGGGGAGGGCTGGGGTGCGGGGCGCTCCCGAGTCTCCCCTCACTTCTCAGTCATCAGGGTATACACACTGGTAACTGCAGTTTGCACAGTTGGCAGTTTTATATTTTCTGCAAAGAAAAAATATGGCATGTGTTTGGGAATTCACTGCAAGATAGTTTTTGCAGATACATCATTTTTAAAAACAATAACATTAGTTTCTATTTTACCAGCGCAGATACCATAACAGGTACACGTATGGGGAGAGAGAAAGTGACGCTCCGGAGGCTGCGGGTAGGAAAGGCAAGCTGACCCAACGTGGAAAAATACCCAACGGGCGCCGAGACGGGCACCAGTGATGCGGAGAGTCAGCCCCGCGTGCGTCAGCCTCCCGCGTCCTGCTCTTCCTACAACCATCATACATGCTATCGTGCATTTTAGGGAAATCAAAAGCCAAAAGCCACATTTGAATCTAAGCATTGTACCTGCGATCGCTCAAGGACTGTTATGGGCAGACGCAGGCCGACAGGAAGCACTGGTTATGCCAACTCGCATGTATTTACGGCGAGTGACTTCTGAGTCCACAGTGAACATGGATAGAAACCTGGTTTTCCCGAGGTGAATGGATTGGCCGGGGAAATGGAGGCTGTCGGCAAGCGCCGCCCCTGTGTTCTCTTTGGGGTTGGAATAAAGCCAGTCTCCACCCAAAGCTGACAGTTCCAACATGAATGGGGTGAGTGCGCATGGTTAACTGATCTTGACTTTGGTCTAATGCGCTAAGGGATTCCACCTAAGACACTGCTGAAGCCGGCTGACACTACACTGTAGTTTCATGACCGGAAAGAAGATGCTGAGGCTGAGGAGGGAGAAGCGCCGGGCACCACCTCACACTGTCCCCGAGCTGAAGCGGAAACGACCACACGCCTGCTTCCCTATCACGAAGCAAAGCTGCCAAATTGGCTCAGCAAATCACAAAAATGAAAGATCAATGGCAAAACAGCGGTCCTTCTTTTCAAAGGGCACGCTAGTCCTTCATTGTGATTTTCTCTCTGCTTTCTGATGCACGATACACACGGAGCATTCACAGCCGGACCGAACCGGCAAGGGCTCTGCCGAGGTGATGTGCAGAGGAGAGACTCGGCTCGTCCTAGAAGCGGCACCGACTGAAATGAAGTTTTCCTTAAAACTTGTTATCGCATATACGTCAACCGTTCTACTCTCCTGCATTGGGCGGTCAGAAAAAAAGTCCCCGTACTTTCTAAAGGCATTTTTCCTTCCCACATGCACAGCTGCTATTGGGAGAGCCTGAAATCCAATTTTGTGCGTGGATTTAATTGCATCGTAATCCAGCCCCCAAAGCACATCAAAGGCCACGCTCCCCCTCTTCCCCCAGATTTCAATTGCTCTCATCAACGAGTAAGTTTGAAGCATGATCAAATTTGTTCTTCAGACACTGGAGCCCGGGTAATAAACTATTCTGTGTGCTCACTCATCCATCCTAAGATTCTGCAACTTCTTTGAGATGTCTTCAAGAGGCATTTACAAAGACATGTTTGATTGCCAGCTGGCTCTGGGGTAAACTTTATCGCCTCTGGCTTTGAGGCCCTACAGAGGATAATAGGTGACATGGTCCAAGATAAGTCAAAGCTAATCTTTCTTTTTTTTTCTTCTGTACACGATTAAACTGTTTTTCAAAAACGATAGCGAACGAACACATCATAGACCCCTTGCGTAATTGAACAATCTCATTTCGAATAATGATCTTTTTTTCCAGGAAAAAAAACAAACAGCCTTCTTCAAGGTCATTTCTCAAGTTCTACTGCCTTAAAAACAGAAAGAAAGGCAGAAGGAAGAAAGAGAAGGCAGGACAGGAGGGAAGAAGAGAGGAAGAAGAACAAGCCGCCGTCGTCCACCAACACCGAAGCCCTGAACGCCGACATCACAAAGCCAAAGGTGGACTCACCGCTCTCGCTGTCCGACTTGTTCTCGTGCTCCGTGTCGGTGAGGGTGAGGGCCGAGTTGGACCGGCTGGACAGGCAGGAGCTGCGGCCGGACTTGACGCCCCGGCCCCACAGCCGCATGGCGTGCTCCGGGGACATCACGGCTTCGTTCTCGGTGTCGGCGTCGGACCCTGCACTGAGAGAGTAACCTCTGTGGGGCAGCCCCATTTCCGCACAAAAGGCCAGTCCTCTTCGAGTTGCTGGTTCACACACGCCTAACTGCCTTAGGGTAAAATTCTGTCCTGATTAGGGGGAAAAAGAGACAACAGCCAGTGAGTATAGGTTCAGCTGTAGTTTCAGTGCTTTTGTTTTCTTTAAAGAAACTTTCCAAACAATATACACTCAAGCACCCAGGCTTTCCAGCTAGAGGCACCAGGTATTTACATGAACGCTGCATGGCACAGAGTCAGGGGGTGCAATTATGGGGGGTCAAGGCTGGGCCTCCCCGCTGAATCTCCACACATCCCACCTAGAGCTCCTCTGTCAACCTTTTAACCCATAAGCACCCCAGACAGGTGGGCTAGGGAGCCTGAGACCAGGAAAACCCAGCCCAGACGAAGGACTTGCTCTCGGGGATGGAATTTAGCTCCGAAGACTTACAAAGCATCAGAAAGTGTCAGAATTATTGTCTGTGTCCGGGTGCTAGTCTCAAATGATAGGATTTTCCCACCCAGATGTTACCTCTTTGGAAGAGAAAAGATTGCCCTCAAGAATAAGTAGAAAAGGGGGCTTGGCCAGTTTTTAGTGTTCCTTCTCACCTTAAGTTCACCACCAATATTAGCATATATCATGGGTGTACATATACTCAATTCGGAGTGTAATGTCTTGAAGATTTGCCCACATCTGACTTTCTAAATGTTTTGCTTTAATCAACACCTGGACATCTGTATTGATTAGAATAAACCAGTTCTTGCAAATAAAGTGCACTCTGAACATGTACCGGAGCATTACGTCCTTAAAAATTAATGATAAAATCAAGTCCCCTGCAGAATAAATGGCCGTGAACCCTGCAGGCCTTTACTAATAAATGGAGCATATTAAAACTCCTGACACTGCAATAAGTTAAAGCAAAAGTGTTTAAATTAGGTGACACTTTCAAATGACCGCTGTTATTAATGACATTTCCAGTTCTGAATTTATTTTTGAAATTTCGCATGTTTATGATACTATGGATGAGAAGACAGAGAAGTGTTTGGTTGTAGGATGTAGGTACAGGTAGCTCGTCCATGTCCATTGCTGGCATGGGACAGCCTGAGACTTAGCCACCCAGAATCAAAATACATGGAAAAAAAATAGTACATAAAGACTGATTTAAATGCTGCCACATAATACAAACTGTTTAAGAATAGTGAGCATTTATAGTACTCATAGATTTCATCTTCCTACTGCTATTTCTTAAAGTTAATTGGCTGGTGTGAGAAATAACATAGATTATACAGGGGTTGCAAAAGTAGGTTTGCAGTTCTAGTACCAACAAATAATACAACAATTAATAAATAATAATACAAGAATAAACTCTGTAAACTTCACATACTCACAAACATAAACCTACTTTTTTGCCCACCACTGTATATTAAGGTATTATGTAGTATTTGTGATAAAATAATATGTAGAATCTTCTAGAAAAATGAACCAAACCTGAAGCACAATACAGTAACTATTTGGTGGTAAAGACATGAGCGCCCTCCAGGCCTCTGCACATTTGAACCGTGTGGTTAATCGCTTGACTCTGCGGTCATATCAGAAGCTGGAATCGGCTACATCTCGGCCAGACTTCCAAATGGATTCTGACAATGACACTCATCAATAATGAAAATCTGCTGCTACAATTAGCTACCAATCAAACTGTGCTTATCAGAGAGATGTGAATAAGTATCTGAACCAAAAAGTATGCACAAAAAGGAAATAGCAAAAAAGAAAAAAATGGGGAGGAAAACAGGGAAATAGCCTGCTGACCGCGAGCCAGTGGCCAAGCTTCCGGAGGCCAGACCCGGCTGCGGGTATATTTAAGAGTTAGTGTGGACTGTACTTAGAAATCCACATCCAGCAAAGGTCAAGGTCACGGACAGTTAATGGAAAGGCTGGGGAAGAGCTTCCCTATTCTTACTTATGCATCACATGTAAAGTGGGGAGAGGGGAAGAAAGGGACTAAAACAGTTAACTATTACCATCCGACATGCTGATGTTTCAAAATAAGCACACACTCTCATGTTTAAAGGGTGAGAATGAATGATAGGATCCATGGCATCTTTCCCGTATTTGGGGAGGTGCCCACATTGCAGAATAAAAATAAGAGAAGTTAAAAGACAATAAAAACTCCCTTTTGAGTCTCTGAAATGTAACTTGAAACGTTCCCATGTTATTGACTTTTCACACTGTTGCCATTTTGATGCAAAAATCTATGAGGTGAAGAAAAGCAGAAAACTGCAGTCTTTGCTATTGGTTATCCAGTTAAGTAAACACAATTCACTTTGCAAATGAATATCTAACCGATGATCCCTATGCATTGCTATGTGGTGCATCCCAAACTCCTTAAAAACCCAAGCCTGGGAAATCAATGTCTCAATGACTCAAGACTCCTAAGGGCTGCTTCTGAAATGCAAGCTAGCAGGCAAGCTGTTGGGTTCCCTTGCTGAATTCAAGTTTGCTTTTGTTTCCACTAGGAAGGAACACTGAACTTGACCTCCAATGAACCTAAGTTAAAGCCAGTTACTAGCTGTGTTCCAGCTAGTATCATCCTATTTTTTCATCTTTCCAGGCTGTTATGACTTGGTTTAAGCGATGCTTTATGTAAATGTGACAGCATTAAAGGAAAGGCTAAACAAGACATAGGTTAAAAATAAACCCCTGGGTAAATGACAGTAATGATCATAGAGAAATGTACAATTTGAGGGTGGACAGAGGATCATTGTCAAATCACTTCAGAATAGCCACCCCACCCCCACATTCAGGACATCTCTCTTCCCTAGGCCTGCCTCAGTGCTTCAAATTCTGCTGTTGTCATTTGTCCTTTTGGGTGATAGATGCTTGCTTGTAGGATTCCTTGTTTTGATACAAACACCTATTATACTAGAACTAGAGGCCCGGTGCATGGATTCCTGCACTCAGGGGGATCCCTCAGCGTGGCCTGAACCCTCTTGCAGTCCGGGACCCCTCGGGGGATGTCCACCTGTCGGCTTAGGCCCACTTCCCACGGGGAGTGGGACTAAACTGCAGTCGGACATCCTTAGCGCTGCCGAGGAGGCAGGAGAGGCTCCGGCCACAGCTGCTGCTCTCACAGAGTCAGCCTGGCTTGTGGCTGAGTGGAGCTCCCCTGTGGGAGCACATTGACTTCCAGGGGTCAGCTCCTGCATTGAGTGTCTGCCCCTGGTGGTCAGTGTGCATCAGAGAGACCAGTCAATTTGCATATTACCCTTTTATTATATAGGACTAGAGGCCCGGTGCATGGATTTGTGCACTGTGGGGTCCCTCGGCCTGGCCTGCGCCTTCTTGCAATCCAGGACCCCTCGGGGGATGTTGGATTGCCGGTTTTGGCCCATTCCTTGCAGGCCAGGCTAGGGATCCCACTGGTGCATGAATCTGTGCACCAGGCCTCTAGTATTTATATAAGATCTTCGGTTAATCTTTTCCCACCCTCTCCTCTCCCCGCTTCCCTCTGAGATTCATCAGTATGTTCCATGTTTCCATGCCTGTGCATTGAGCGTCTGCCCCCCTGGTGGTCAGTGCACATCATAGCTACCAGTTGAACGGTCGAACGGTTGAATGGTTGAATGGTAGGTCAGTTGCTTAGACTTTTATATAGATAGATAAATTATTTCCCACAATGCAGCAGTGTTTAGCAAGATGGGCCAGACAGCTGGAAAGCACACACAGGCAGTGTTAACCAGCAAAGGGAAGATGAACAAAGACAGTTGACTGAAGGTCATTGAGCCAGAGGGTTGGGCGGGGTTGTTGAGGAAGGACTTCAAGCCACTGCTAAGTGGAAAGACAAAGGCAGAAAAAGGCAGCAAAGATGCGTCTGGATCTGGGTTAAAAACCTGACCATCATGTCTTACGTCAGCTTTGGCTTCAATAGACAAAGAGATAAGGATGCATTTATCTTATTTGCCATGGCTTGCTTCTTTGCGTTGGGGTCTTTGCCACGGTTCTAACGGCATTTCCTTAATTTCTTTCTTTGCTCTTTGGAGTCTCTATGTGAAGTCTGTTTGGCTGAGGCTGGTGAAATAAGTACTTATGTCCTGCATGTTGAATTTTGGTGACCTTGATCAGCAGGGCCAACAAATTTTCCCATTGCAATTTGAAACAGTCCCAAAGCAATAAATTGCAGCCAGAATCAAGTCCACCCAAGGATGAAATCCATTGTGATTAAAAGGTAAGGTTAGCTAGGAAGAGATTAGACATTTTGTTTATGACACTCATACATTTGAAAATATGTAAAAGAAACACTGAATGAACACAACCTAGGAAGGCTGTATCTTTTTAAAAAAAAGCCCACATTTTCAAAAATGAGTGATGGTATGTGACAAGGTGGAAAAGACCATGTGAGAACGAATGTTTCAAGGGATCTTGGCACACGGCACAGTTAGCCCTTTCACAGAAGAAGGGGATTGGATAGCGATTTGGCCTCTTCCTCATGTAGTGTTCACAACCTAGTCAGAGCAGGGACAGCTTTGTGAAAACTGCAATGCAATGATGTTCACCAACAGGCAAGGCATCTACTTGTGAGTTCAAAAGAGCAAGACTCCACATGAGGGACATGAGTGCAACTGTCATCACAATCAATTTTAGAACACTCTTGTCACCCTCAAAGAAACCTGGTACCCACAATCAGTCCTCTCCCACTTACCCTCTTGTTCTCCCTTTCTCACAAATCCTAGGCAACCAGTAATTTACTTTCTGTCTCTATAGATTTACCTATTCTGGACATTTCAAATAAAAGTGATCCTACAATGTGTGGGCGTCTACGACTGGCTTCTTTTACTTAGCACAGAGTTTTCAAGGTTTATCCGTATGGTAGCATGTATCAGTACTTCATTCCTTGCTATGCTCGCGTAATATTCCATTGTATGGATAGACCACAGTTTATCCATTCATCAGGTAATGGGCATTTGAGATGGTACCACTTTCGGGCGATTTCAATAAAGTGTACAAATGTTTATGTAGACATATGCTTTTCCTTCTCTTTATTATAAACCTATGGGAAATGCTGCTGGTCAGGTAGTTGCTCTAGGTTTAGCCTTTT